TGTTGCCTTTCTAATTCCTACTTGGTACTCTCACAATTGCTACAAACCCTTTCACAAAAGCATCCCTTCTTACAAACCATGAATTACCTTACTAGTTTCGTCCATCCTAGCAAGCAAATATTTACAGTTGTGCTTACCCTGTTCTTTCTGATCATTCATATTTTTCCTTCAATCTTATATTCAATTGTATTGGCACTTCCAAACTGACTCCATTCATGCAAAGTCACACCCCACAATCAATTTCCATTGTCTCCTTCCAGAATATATCACTACATACAAATCATTATTCTACATAGATCGTTTGGGCATATTTTTTCCCCAAAGAAAGCTGGGTTTGAGTATTCCTGAGTAAAGCAAGAACTTTTGCACACAGCTTTCTATACTGCCTGTGAGACAGGCTCACATTATAACTTCACAGGGGATTAAATACTGTAATTTCTAGCTTAATGCAGCTGATCTGCTACATAAAGATCCTCCTACACAGTAAGTTCTCTCATGCAGAGATTTTGTCTTTGTTCTGACACTTTCCTGAGAACACACACATCTTTAGTTCATATAATATAGGACATCTATTCCTTGCAAAAGCAAAATAACTCCCTGCCTTTCCCTTCCTGCCAAAAATACAAACTACCCTCCCTCTCTCTCCCTCAAATAAAAGCCAATCATCAAACCTCTAATTAAACTAAAGGACTTGTATCATTAGCTTGTCTGGTGGAAACAATTTTACAACTCAAGGGATGGCACATGCTGAAAATGGAATGTTACTTTTTCAGGGAAAATACTCAAATTTGTTCTTCAGATAGATAATTTGGAGTGCTTTAACCTTTATAAAATTGTGTATTCACAATAAAATATGCATTTATCTTGTATTTTAACTAAGCTTGTAGTTTCAAATTCAGCTACTTGTGCCTTACTGAAGAAAACCCCAACAAACCAACCACCAAAAACCTTCTGCATATGACACTGCCCTAAAATGCCCATGTGTGGGAAGGCTGGCAAGGATGCAAGACCTTTAGAAAACAAGGAGGGCATGAATGCTCCCCTGTCCTGTGGCAAAAATATATCTTCTGTGTACAGTCACTTTTTGTAACTTGACTGGAGTGCAAATAGTTCAGTTCTACTCTCTGTCTGGACCCTTACAGAGTAGTGCAACCTCCTACAAGTCAAATGACTGAATACCTCTCTGCTCTACCTTCATATACTCTGTGGGATGGCTTCTCTGTAGTTTCTTACCACATGTGGTTGCTACAATAGGTAGCAAAATCCTGGGCTTTGCAGAACTGACTGATTTGCTTCAGAGTAACTACTCGCTGTACACTTACTTTTAGGATTCCATCTACTAACTTCTAAAACACAACTGAAGGAAACCATTTTGAAATCCTGCTTTCCTTGAGTTCCAGAATATTCCACTGGTTGTGTATAGCTCATTATTTCATTAGCAAAGTTATCACAAGTCTGCTGGTTAAAATTTTTTCTCCTAAAGATGAACAGAACTGTCACCTTCAGTAAGGTAAATAAACACTTTTTGTCTTGGCATGTGCAAGGGGCCTGAGACTTTTCTTCACTTAGTTCCCCCCTTTAGGCCAGACTGACAACATGTATTCACAAGAAGATAAAGAAAGGGAATATATCACAGAAAAGATGAAAATTACAAACAAGTCATGCTAACCCCCAAAACCTGGGAATTAATCCCTCCTGCTATCATTCTGGGCATACAACTCACTCCTCCCAGCAGCCAAACTACATCATGTGGAAAGAGAGAGCATGAGAAACTGCACACAGAAAAGCAGAGGTCTAAATATTGCTCTGCAATTTTCACAACTCTGTACTCAATAGAGAAGGAACATTTTCATTTCTGCAGGAACATTTTGGAGAGATCAGGGTATTATTACATTAATACATGTAAGGAAATACAGTTCATACACTATCTTGCAGAGTTAAAGAAGGAAGACATTGACAAAGGACTCAAAATTAAAAACTGGGAAATTATTTTCAACTTGTAAAATTGTCTGTAGTAAAACTGTATGCCTAGATTAAGGTTGCAAAAGCAACTTAAAAGATTTAAGGAGATTTAAAGATGGAAGTTCTAATCAGATGGAATAGGAAGATACACACATGCTAAACAAAGGCCTGAAACAAATCTTGAAAATAATTCAGAGTTGCTGGAGGAAATCAAGGTCTAACTCTGGTAAAAAACATGAAAATTTTCAGAATGTCAATAGATACAATCTATAATACTAAATCAAGGAGTTTTATATCTGTATTTGGCATAGAATTTTCTTTGCAGGAGAAAATGGCACAGATGAAGATTTTTCATTTTGCAGAAAAACACGTCAGAGCAATGGAACTCATTTACATTTGAAATGCAGATTTGCCAACAATGCAAAACTATGGAAATGAGAGATCACAACCACAATTTGACTTAAAAACTTGCAATAATGCTGCACTTAAATTCCATCTCTTTCCAACTACTTAAAATCAAAAGACAGCTAGGGTTTATTGAAAGATAATATGTGAATGCTTAAAAAAATTCTTATAAAAACCTGAGGAAATATTATGGGACTTATTGTTTGCAAGACTCAGGAAACCAGAACTATCAGGTACTGATGATGTTTTGTGGTCAGAGTCATTAACCTGATACATTTGTAAGAATTTACAATACTCAGCTTTTAGCATTAAAAAAATCCAGAAAAATAATAATATAGGTGCACATAATCCAAACACTTTGCATGAAGGCAAAAAAACAGTGGGCTGCCAGAAAGCAGTAGTCTATTTCCACATGACAAACAGAGGAGCAAACCTAGAAGAGTCAGAAATCACCTTCCTTCTCCTACTGCAGAAGCAGCTGAAAAGAAGAATTTTGAATCCTACTGATCTGAAGCAGATCAAGCCAGCAGCATTTATGGAAAGGACTAGACCCAGAAATCTGACAATTAAGGAAAGCTTTGCCAAATTTTCAGTCCTGCACAAACCCCTTCTAAAGATGAGGCTCACTGGACTTCTGACTTCCACAGTACCCCTTCCTTCTCCACCTTCCTATGATTATAGGCCTACGCTTAACAGCATTCCCAGTTCACAGTGGTACTGGCCACATTCATTCATGAGATAAAAGCACTATTTACATCTACTGCAATAACTGTACTCTTCATCTACCCTGGATATTTTAACATTCACATGATTTACTATCATCAGATAGAGAAGCCTCACCCACAGAAAACTAAAAACCTGTCCAAGACTGGTAAGTGAAAATTTGAAATATGAATGCTCAGAAAAAGACTAATGCATTAACTCTTTGGGCACCCAAATTTAAAATTATCTAATTTTCCAGGGCACCAAATTCTCAATTCCTTCTGAAGTCAATGAGAGTCACAAAGGGCAGGACACTGTTTAGGCTGTTCCCTCTCAGATTAATTTCTAGCTTCTCTTATCACCTGCCTTCAGCTGGCTGGTCCTCCACCTCTCCAGATGAAACACTACAATTCAGTAACTCTCTGTTACATTACCCCCTGCAATATTTCATAAACTGAGACATCTGGCAACAGTTAGTTAGTTAATTTGAAAGCCAAACAACACCACAACACAGTGATACAGGATTAGCTTCTCCTAAACAAAATATGTCTTACTTGCCAAAAGATGTAAGCACTCCATGTGTGAAGACATGGCAGTTAAACAACACAACCTGAGCACAACCTTGTTTATATGTGGCATTTCTTCTGAAAACATTTTTTCCTTTGGTTATTATTCTCTGGGGAAAAAGTGTTAATGTTTCCTGTTCTCAGTCAATAGACATCTCAAAAAAACACATCTATATGAGACACAAAACTAGGCTAAGATCCTCTGTATGAACTGCACATACAGTGGAGTTCACTGTATGTGAAAAATATGTGAAAAGCATAAAGACTAGTTCTGATGTGTTTAGATAAGGCACACCTTCAGATCCCAGTTTAGACAGAACCACACTCAACAATCTTATAACTAACTACAGCTGCATTCCACCCTTCCAGCCTCCATGTTCTCATAGCTGTAAATCTGATTACTGTACTCTGCAGCATGTTCTTATTTTTTTAGTCTTTCTTAACTGCTACCCTCAAAGAGCCACTTTCAGCCTGGATTTCTCCATGTAAGGTGGAGAAACAAACACATTGGAGAGCACATGATACTTATTTAAAAGAAAACATACAAGTATTTCACTGTTCCTCCAAGCAAAGTTTGTTCTGGAACAGAGAGAAAATTTGTTCTTTGTTCTGTGTGAACCTTGGCCCCTCCTCCTAACATCACTTTCAGATTTTATGCCTTCAGGCTGAAAATATTTTATTTTTCATCAAACTGTTTTCTTAAATCTGCATGTAACACACCTGTCACAAACTTTTGCTCTGCTCCTTTGAGGTATTTCTGCAACTCCCACACTCTTGGCAAGAGCTTACTCTAGATAAAAATCCAACACCCTCCTTTATTCATCATCTAGTATGTATGATTAACTTGTTTTTTTCAAAGATGTTGCCTTAAGCTCTGGGTGTTGACTACTCCCATAGAATGAACTACACCATGTTCAGTGTTGGCCCAGTGTTTCCACTTCTCTGGGCTGAGAATCCCTAATGAAGCTGGATCTATGTGCTACATAACCTGGCCAATATGATACTGACATCCAAGGTTTGGCATTTGCAAGAGTTCCTGCTAGGTGTGTCCCATTCCCCAAATTATACATAGATTCCATCTGGACATGGGAACTATTTCTTCCAAACACCACTGATCTATTGCACCAAACATAATAGAAGACTTAAGTTCACAGATATACACAATCTCACCTATGATGATGCAAAAGAAATTCCTAATGAGAACTTGCAACTTAAAGTCTAATTACATTTCACAGATTGTAAGATGCTTGCACTACAAATACTGGTTCTAGGACAATGACAGACCTTTCCAGTAAATATTGCAATAAATTATTTGGTTAAGGGAGAAGATATGGACATTTTTGCCAGAGATCAGTATTAACTTACTCTGCATTCACCAATGTGCTCATCTAGCCCATTTTTTTCTCTAATAATTCTTTTTGAGCTATTTCTGTGCAGTCAGGGAGTGTATCATCATGCAGCTGCACTCCAGGGCCTATGCTCTGTTAAAAAGAAAATAAAAAAGAAGTTAATTCAAACTATAAATATTCTCCTGTTTCCACACATAGGACTTCTGAGGTACAGAGGATCTTAGTTACATTATCAACAAAGGGTGCATAGCTTTGGTAAGACACATGTTAGCAGAATTTAAAAGCTCTCATTTTTCACCCATTAACTCAGATAATTGTATTTCACAAATGCTTTTGAACAGACACTCACTCTTACCTTCCCACGTGGGGGAGATTCATCTTGCTGAGGATTACAAAAAAGGCTGAAACAAGGAATTTTTTAAGAATTGTTGAACAATGAAGACACAATAATTAGTTCAGAATTTTAAACTAATTTAGTCATCAAACTAACTTCTCTATGGAGAATTTACAAGAAATTATGCCAACTTAAAACCTAGCAGTTTAGGAATGGCAGAACTCACAGAAAAGATGAGGAAAACATTAATTTCATCCTACTTATACTGGACTAAGAAGCCTGCTAATCTGAGTACTACAGACAAATATTTTATTTTAAGAGATTCAGATAATGTTTCTGGTACTATTTTCCTCCCTGTGACAAATCATTATACATACAGTATTTAGTCTCTGTGCCTTTTTACAGGCTGCAGCTTTTCCCAATAAAGAGCAAGGAAAGAAAAATCAAACTTACCAGTGTCTAGATATTTTTGTATTTTTACTAGAATAGCAGTTTGAATCCCAGATAGCAATATTATAAACCAACATGTTCCCTAAAAGCTTTGCCCACAGGAAAAATTGTGATGGAAACCACAGTCAGTGGTTTTTTGGTTTTGGGGTTTTTTTTTGTGTTTTGGGTTTTTTTGTTTGTTTGTCTTTTTGTTTTTTGTTTTTTTTTTTTTACTATAGTAGGAGCATCGGTGAGCACCCAGCAGAGAATATGTTTGAAATGGAAGCTTTTCATAAAAGAAAAGCACACCTCAATTGTTTTCATTCATTGCTACCTGACAGTGCCCTGAAGAGGGAGAGAGGGGCTATTTGTACATATAAAACAGTAAAGCTTGCTATAATGTTGACCAGAACCAGTATTTTAGGTGCAGTAGAGCATGTTTTATAAGCCACAAGAACTACACAGACATGTGAAACTATAACCTCTAAAATAAGGCCAAAGTTACTGTCACAGAGGGCTGCTGGCTATACAAGTGCTGCTTCAGCAAACTTGTGGGCTGTTTTATCTTACAGTGCACTTCTTGTTTCTTCCAAGTTCTTTTTTTTTTTTAAATTTGTTCCTGTTTATCACTCCTATATTTGGATATAGATAACCTTCTTTCTCCAAACACATGGTATTTCCCAAAATATATGCCATATTCTAGAGATAACTAGTAGATAATATAATTTGATTTTTTGAGCTCCTCTTTACACTTTAAAATTCTAGTAAAAGATAAAATATGTGGGCTAAATCAGCTAAAAACACAGCTCATAAATCTATTTCTGTTCAACTCTGGAAGTTTTGAATAATGTGCTTTGTTTCAATAAGCATCAGTTGGGTGCAGTTGACATACCAAAATTCTTAACCCCTTAATATTTTAAGAATTTTTTGTTGTATATAGTATCCTGTAGCAGTGCTGCATATAAAATACTTAGTTAAATACTGCATGAAAACAAATAGTGTGCAGCAGCCACAAATTACTACATTAACATGCCAAAAGGCTTGCTGCTAACCTTACTGAAAGCTATACAATATAAAAATATTTTTCTCAGAAGAATGCCTAAAAAAAGGAAGGAAAAAAAAAGACTGCCCTTTCTTCTTTTGTTTAGATGGGCTGATCTCCAAAACCACCAAACACTTGCAAGCATTCAGTACCTATAAAGATCAAGCTGGAGGAATCTGTGCTCTAAAAGAAAGGCAAATGGATTAGGTTGTATTCCTTCTGCATGAAATCAGCCTCCTAATGTGTCTGAACAACAAAATAAACCTTTGAAGTCTGCAGAATGCATGGGGAAACAGTAATTGTCACTTCTGCATCCCTGAAAAATGAGGGGTTTAAAATCTGGAATTAAGAAGTTTTAGCTAAAAACTATCGTAGTTCTTAGAAGCCAGCTTTTCTCCTTGCCAA